TCCTTTAAGAAAAAAGAACAAGAAAGTAAGTGTTCAAAGCAATAAAAAGTAGAAGAAAAGGATGACTATAACAGGTACTTTACTCATTACATCCATTGATCTACAAGTACATTGGATTGTGGGAATTAAAAGATATTCAGGAATCCTCATTAACATCCTTATACATAGAACCAACTTTATCTTCCACCTTTAGGTTAAGAAATTTAACAAACCTGGGCTCAGATTGACAGAAACTGTTCCACTTCTCTCCTCAAATCTGACATTGTCAATGTTTTCCTTAGGCCAAATCACTATTCCATTTTTGTTCCTGGCCAACAGGAGTCTAGAAAAAAAAAAAAAAATCCAACACTATTTTTAAGAAAGGAGACACTATGAAAATGAGAGAATGAGAGAGAGAGAGAGAGAGAGAGAGAGAGAGAGAGAGAGAGAGAGAGAGAGAGAGAGAGAGAGAGAGAGAGAGAGAGAGAGAGAGCTGTATAAAACTGTCTTAAATCCCTTCATCATTCATTCTTTACACTCTTCCTTCTCAGAGCCTCAGGACCAAAGCCAAATTGTTTCAAATACTGCAGGCTTTGTGTCTACTGCACTGTTACAGTACCATCAGTCGCTGTCAAAGGCACTTGTGATTAAGTGACAGGACCCTGTAACTGTGCTCCCATATGCCTAATGCCTAGCGTGAAGCTCGTCTACTGCCACTTTAATACGTAAAAATACATCTGTACCACATTTAAAGTGCCTACACCAGCAGTAGCATAAAGTTTTAGGCAGTACTTGCAAATGATGTTATATATGCTTGTATATATTATAGCTGAGGTGAAAGTGCTAATTTTAAGAATTATGCACTAAAACTTGGTAATATTACAGCTGAAGGCAACACAATGCCACGAGAGAAAGAGAGAAAGAGAGAGAGAAAGAGAGAGAGAGAGAGAGAGAAAGAGAGAGAGAGAGAGAGAGAGAGAGATAAAGAGTTTTCTCTATGTGTAAAAGAAGATAGAAGGGAGGGGGGGATGGAGATAGGATGAGAGAAGGGAGGGACACATAAAGGCTGAAAGAGAAAACGATTACATGGACACAAGAAATACAGACCCCCCCCCCCTTAACTTCCTTTGCCTATGCATATATACCTGTTATTCTGATACCAATGCTTGAGCCAACGAACTCGATGTTGTGCTGTTGCTTTGTGCTCCTCAAATGCTCTGCTGGAATCAAATGTCTCCTGAAGAAGAAATAATAATGATAAGAAATAAAAGAAAGAAAGTCAGCTGATTTTATATATTCAAATGCTTTTTTTTTTTTTTTTTTTAAATAACTTTATTGAAAACTATTGGCTAAGGACTCTCAATTACCTGACAAAGTGGACAATGGTAGCTTGGCTGGTCATTAGCTGCTGGCAGAACTGGGAAGGAGAGGAGAGAGGAGTACAATGAATTATCCATTATGGATTTATGTAATTTCCTCTGTATTTATTTTGTGAATTTCATTACATACAGATGGCTCCACATGTGCTCAGCCAGCAAGGAGTCTAGCAGTATGCCCTCGTGAAGGATCATGATTTCCCAATTCCTTGAACTGACAGGAAAATGTGTTTTTTCTATCTAATACCATTTATATCGATACTGTTATTATTCTCGTTGATATTATGATTATTAAATTGTTATTAAAATCTTAGAACTATTAACCCAATGCCACCGGGGAAAATTAATAAGAAATGGGGAAAATGCTGTGCTCATTTTTTATGTTTTTGTGAAATGTCTCTGCACATAGATGGTTCGGCTAATGCTTAGTCAAAGGAGTCAATTAGTAGCCCTTGTGACCTTACATGACTTCACATTTCCTTGAACAGGTGCGAAAAAACAAGTGCTATGAATATCGATGGTGTTATTTTTATTATAAATATTATAATTATTATAATGTTATAAACATTAGTAACAGCAAAATAAGATATACGTAAAACATTTTTGTAAATCAAGGAAAAGGGTAAACAGGTGAGACAGGTAGTACTTATAATTGGCTCATTGGTGACTTGGTACAAGTGCAGCCATCTATGTGTAAAAACAATTAAACAAGTAAACTCACAGTGAGCATGGCATGTACATGCTTGCCATGCTCGTCGGCAATGGGTACAATGAAACAAAACAAAAGGCATTTTCCAAAAATCAAGGAAAAGAGTAAATGGGTGAGATAGGTTGGACTAATTACTGACTCCTTGTTGACTAAGCACTTATAGAGCCATCTATGTGTAAAGACAATACAGTAGGCGTGGCATATATTCTTGCCATCCATGCTGATTGGGTTAAGATTTAAAAACTTTTCGTTATGTTTGTCTGCATACACATCTATTACATTTTAACAAAATGACCCTGGTCTATCTGTAGACCTTGGTGGAGTGAATTCAGCTGATCCAAGCTTTGTTTCTTGCTACTTTGCCATCTGCCTTCACTGACTACTTGTTTTATCCCTGACTGATCATATAATTGTCTTGTTGGAGCTTCAACTGTCATTTTGTGTTTTACTACGTTTAGCTGCATATATTGGTCATTTCATTAACTATAAACTATTTCTTATATACTCTTTTACAGCCTGGACTATATACGAACATATACACACATTCATCATAGATACATACCGGTATGTCAAAAGATAGAAAATAAATAAATTAAAATAAAATGTAAATACACAAAACTAATAATAAAAACAAAATAAGGGCACCAGCCAGAGTTGCTTGCAGCACCTGGCCATCTGCTGAGTCTGAACATGTGCACATCTTTTGAGTGAACCAACCAAATGGCTGTGGGTACATGCATTATTCTCTCTCTCTTTTTTTTTTTTTTCGTGAATTTTTTGTTGCATGCAGGTGGCAGCTACGTACGTACACATCCACTAACGATACAATTAGTAGGCCTTACATGAACTCATATGATTCTCCCATTACTAAAATTTTTGGGATCTTCTTTTTATTGGTGTAATAAATATTGATACTATTATCATTATCATGCTACTGAAATACCAATAGCAATGAAAAATAAGAATTTTACTGA